TCAGCACCAAATGCCGACTATCCCAGGCCAGCGCTCACAAAGCATGCTGGGAAGGACAAAAGCAGACCTTCAGCCGATTGGTTCCACCTTATTAACAGCTTGTAATCTTCTCATGTCTTTGGCCAGGCCTCACAGAGCAGGAGTTAGGGCGGATAGACGAGTGTGTTCTCTGTCCCTGCTTTGATGCAGAGCAGCATTTTCCCTCTGAAAAGTCCTGCTCTGTTATATTTCCATTGTTGCTGCTGCACCTGTTTGCCTACAGGGACACATGGAGAAAATCAGTCACTGGCAACTGTTAATTTCTCATTAGACTCTCTCTGCACATTGTAAACAGAAGACAGTTTGGGGTGTAAGGCCTATGGCAGGTGCACCTCCTCGTTTAACATTCTGGTTAGCTGCTCTGTCAAAAATCTCTGAAAGAAAACTGACCAGAAATACTGTTTATTAATCCAAACACACTGGGTCTGATTGTGATTATTGACACACACAATAAGTGAATTAGCATTCATTTCTCTCTGATGCAATCTGCAAACATCATGTTATTTTAAAGGACCTGTGTGCAGGATTTAGTGGCATCTAGCAGGGAAGTTGTAGACTTCAACTAACTGAACAAAAATCTGTATTTTTGATATTACATTTTTGCCAATAGGTCATCCTAAATATTGCACACTGGACCTTTAAGGTTTGACTTGGGCTCTTAAATGGTCAAAAGTCTTTCCTGGCCTTTTTTATCTGATCATTATTTAATCTCAGGATTACACATTTTATTAGTCTTGTTTACATACAGATTGTATGTGCACTTTCATATGTATTATGTCCTAAAGAAGGCTGTCATCAGCTGAGTTACAGCCTTGTCACTCCTTTATGGCCTTTCTTCTGTCAGGTTATAGTTTCTGATGGGTTACTTTATGTAGGTTTCGTGCCCAATGTAAGAGTCTAAGAAGTAAGTCAAATCAGCGGCTAAGCACCACTTTTATAGGATTGTCATTCAACCTTAGTGAGGTGTCGCAAGATGAGAAAACAATGAAGGAAGTTGAGGTGACTACAGTAGTTGATTCCTTTCACCCACCAGTCCATTCTTTTCTATATATCTATATACTATATCTTGTACTATATCAGCACACCATGCTGATATAGTACAAGATATATAAGTAAGCTTATCATGACCAGGCACCAAAGAATAAAAGGCCTTGTTTAAATTGCATTTATAAGTGAACATGTGGCACAACTCTTGTCCAACAAAGCATGCTTCGTTCAACTGTTTTTGTCCATCCTGCATTCATCATGGTGGTTACTCATCATGGTACTTAAAAATCACTTAAAATACTTAAAACAACATTGCAATCATCTTTCAGAATAGATTTTATAGAATGGAATATATATGTATATATATAAATATATATACATATATATATATATATATATATATATATATATATATATATGTGTGTGACTACATCAAGAGGAGAGTAATGGCCAACAAGGAACTGCAAGCTAAACAGAGTAATGTTTTTTTATAACTTTGTTTCATTTGGGAGCTTCTGAGCAACAAGCAAGACAGTTGGTGAACGATAAGGACACAGAAAATAGCTGTGTAATTGTGCCAATTTGGGGAGACTTCTTCAGACATTAACGACATAAGGCAACAAACACATCGATACGCCATCAAGTGACACACAAAAGAGCTCAATCAGACACCTGATGTAAATTGACTCCATTAAGTCAAGATTGTGTCCCGTCTGTGGCTTGACTTCATTTGTGAAACTGTCTCTTTATATCCAGTGAGGTGGATTCATAATTATGCCAAATTGTACTCAATTGATGAGCCAACAAGGAAACGTCTGTTCTGCGCTGGTGGTAAAAACCAAGGATTCAGTGTTTTCTCCACAAAACAATATCTAAATCTATCAGTGATTATTTATATATTTATTATTAAAAGAAAACCATAATCCATAATCTGGGGTAAATATTTTGAAATGTAACATTTTTACACATGCAATTTGCACTGCAAATCCCCTGTAATTCAACAATTTATTGTTTTTACTTTGCATTTATTTAGAGAGAAGCTGGTGAATTATCACAAGCCCGTTTTCATTTTCCCCCATTTTTTAACACAATTAAACGGTGGGCCATTAAAGTTGCAAAACCTTATTACCATAAACCTTATTTACTGGAAACTTGGAAACTTGTCAATGAAAAATGTGGTACAAAATCAGTTTGAACTAATCTGCTGCTTTTAAAAACTCCAGGGAATTATTCTGTTGACATTAAAAAAAAAAGAAAAATCAAATCAATAAGACTTTAAAATCATAAATAGAAATGACAACAAACAAACCAGGAAGAAAAGAAAAATGCAAATTAAAAAGGCATTTTGTTATGTTTATTTCAGTCCTTTTCAGGAATGCCCCCCCAAAAAAAAAATGAATTCATAACCACCTTTTTTTCAGTGGTATCACTTTGGGTGTATTTTTCATCCTGTATTGGAGGATAAATTGACCCAGGAGTTTGGCTGAGGTGTCTTCCTGTCTGTCAGCCACAGGAAATGGCTCCACACAGACGAGGCATTTAGCTCCCAGGTGCAGACCCACCATTGGACGGCCTTGCCCAGATGGATAGTACTCCTTCCACCATAAAGACACTAGTCTTCCCCCTGCCCTGAAGCCACCGGTGCTCCTGCCCTGGTCCAGCCTCATCAAAAGGAGCCTGGAAGCTGGGAGGCGGATATGCTGGGCTGCCGCCCCAAATCAAGCTCACTTTTCTTTCCCTTGTAAGTGGTGGATAAAAAAAGTGGGGGAGGTGCACTTTTCTGGTAGACACCAGCTTCTTTCTTTCTCCTCCTTTCTGACTTCTGTATGTGTCGCTCCTTGCAGGTGTCCTTTTTTCTCTCTTGACGCCGAAACCAGATCCCAAAATACAGTCAAAACGATCAGGGCTGGTTTTCTTTCATTACTCAGTTTATTACCTCTCATTGTTCGACAGCCACTAGAAATCAAATTGAGCTCACAGGCACGCACATTAACACACACACACACACACACACACACACACACACACGTACACACATTCATCCTGGCTGCCTGCACTCTGTTCTCCTGCAGGTGCGAGGCCCATCCGCCTGGCCCTTTTCATGAGGCCCTCCCTTTCCTGTCCGTCTGCAGCCGTCCATTCAGCTTCAATCACAGCACCAGCCGGACGCCACCGGACCACTGGCAGGGAAGGGAAGCGCCTCCACACACATCTTTCACTTGTTGAACGACAAGAGAAGAGCGGCTGGGGAAAAAAGAAAGGGTCTTCCTCCTCTGCATCTCCTTCTGCTTTCATCGTAAACAACTTGCTTTCTGTTTGTAACGGTGCTGTCCTTCCCCTCTTCCCCCTGCCTTCCTTTTCTCCCGCTCAGATGGGCTTTACAAGGAGGGGGAGGGGGAGGGGGGGAGTGCAAAAAGAGGACGGCCAGGCACACTGTGCTGTGAACGGAGTGATGCTGAGGTCTTTTTGTGGCTCATGAATGGCACATTTGAGGTTTCCAGCCTTGCTCGGTGCCCCAAGCCAGCTTCACCTGTGGTTGGAGTCAATTGGCCTGTTGTCTGCCTGTCTGGAACTGTGCCCAGCTCTCTGCCAGCCAATTTGGTTAGCGTAGCTGCTCAGAACTGAGCAACAATAACCTCCACCTCAAAACCATCAATTAACTTCCAGCACACAATGATGTATCCATTCACTGTTTGCCAAAACTGTACTCTGACACGATTAATACCCATGCTATTACTACTAATACCTGCTCTCTGTCACATAACAAAGTACAGATGATTTACTTATTTATTTAATGGCTTCCAAGTTGTTAAATGACTGTGGTGGTGCATTCCATTAAGCCCATGATGCTGTGTTTTTTGTGTGTGCTTTCAATTAACTTCACACAAAGAAAAAGTTAAGGAAATGTTACTCATGTTGTCAGGCACTAACAAGAGTCTACAGTTACACTGGTGGTTCATTCAGGCACAGGGGTGCCTTGAGCTAAATGCTAACATCAGCCTGCTAACATTCTCACAATAACAATGCTAATTTTTTGATGTTGAACAGTCCCAAGATCACCAAGGTCATTAGAAGTCATCCTCTGGGGACCGTGAATGTACAACATTGATTGTTATCCAATAGATATTTCAGATTCTAACAAAAGTGGTGGAATTACCACTACCATAAAGAAGTTTATAATTTTAGAGAAGGACGTCACAGTAAAAGTTATCTTGCAAATAAAAAAACACTTGTCAGAGCAATGGCAATGTCCTTGTTTACCTTTATTCACAATTGTATGCCACCTGTTTTACTGACACTGTCAGACTGTCCTCCTCCACTATAACCCATATACACTACTGTACAATACTTTCACTTTGATTTAAATTTTTCTTTTACAGCAATGTCCAGGCAAAGATAGGCATGGCATAAAGAACAATATAGAGGTTACAGTACAGCCTGGAGAAAAAGGATCATCCTCTTCTCTGCTTGAAAAACTTTGTCTCATCATATCAAAAACACCGTAAACGTCAGCTCATGGGAGTTTTTATCTTTAGTTGTGCAAATGTTCAATCTGAGCTTGGTAAGACCAGTTTTAATGCTGATGCTTCTTACACATGGAATAATACAAAATTACAAAATAAAAGATTACCATAGAGTTAATTGTCAATTCTTAATGGAATGTTTGAATTGTGCTTTTATGTCTAATGCTTTCATGCTGTACAGTCTTACTCCTCAAACAGAGATCCTGATCTCAATAAGATTTTTTTCTTTTAATACCTTGCTTTAAAGTGTCACAATTTTCAATAGGATTCTTCTGGTTTTACCACCTTCTACCAGTTGTTTCTCATTTAGCTGTCCAATATGAAAAAGGTCAGACGTGCATATGTGTGTTTCTAAAGAGCACATCATGTGTCTGGGAGGAGTTCAGCTGAGGTGGGGGTATGTGAGGGGAGCATTTAGCTCACTTTTCCACTGTGTGTGCTGTCATTCTTGCCGCACGCAGCTGTGGAAATGAGATAAAACTGAGCGGCCACTTTAGGAAGCTCTCACTCACTGGTGCAGCCAGAACCCTCTGAAGCCCCAAAGTAAAAGCCTTTGGAGACTTGTCATTGTGCTGGATGGCAGCTGTATTCTGCGTGCAAAGGGGGGATCAACAGGTGGAGGCAATGAAGATTTGATTTTTGCAGTTTGTGGATTTTCTTTTAAAAACAGAACTATATTTTTTCCTTGATTATTTTTGATTTGTCTCTCAAGCTTTACCTTTTACTAAATACAGTTTTAGGAAGACGATACCGAACTACAAATTAAGAAGACTGGCACACCTCTTAAGAGACTATGAATGTGCTGTCAAACCCAGTGATCAGGGCCCAGGAGCAGTCTCTAGCTCTCTGTGGACCCGGGTCTGTCCAGGATTTACCCCACTGCCCTCCAGGGTTCAACCTGAGCTCTCGCCTAAATCCTCCACCCATGCTTGGCCTCCAGAGTGGCCAAAGATCCACCAAACCTCAGAGAGAGCTGAGCCCAGAGGAACAGCAGGAGCTTAGGAGGAAGATCAATAGCAGGGAGAGGAAGCGGATGCAGGACTTGAACATCGCCATGGATGCCCTCAGGGAGGTCATGGTGCCTTACGCTTCCTCGCCATCTTCTGCTTCCACCTCTCAGTCTCACCAGCCCGGAGCTCCACCAGGCCGCCGGCTCTCAAAGATCTCCACCCTGGTTCTGGCCAGGAACTACATCTTACTCCTGGGTTCGTCTCTGCAGGAGATGCGGCGGCTGTTGGGGGAGGTAAGCGTGGGGATGGGGGTGAACACAGGACCGGTCCCCCGGCTGCTGCTCACTGGAGGGTGGCCCCTCATCTCTGGCCCCAGTCAGCTCCTCCTCACCCAGGAGTCCCTCCTCAACTCAGCAGCATCCTCCTCCTCTTCCTCCACTTCATCGTCCTCTGCTGCTAAATGTCCCCTGTTGTCGCCGGGCCCCATGGAGGCCTCGCTGGCCCCTGTGCAGTGGAGCTCTGCAGGGGCCTCAGGAGGGCCCCTGTGCCCCTGTGGAGTCTGCAGACTGCCCAGATTTAGCCACTCCACTCCGGCCCCAAGATTCCCAAAGTGACACCTTAAAGTTGAAGAGGATTTCCCAAGAACGGACTTGATGACTGTTACATGTATGCAACATGGTTTTTATATGAATTGCTATTTAACATTTTTAACATGTTTATAATAATTTACTGCAATTACTTACGATTATAGTTTGATCTTCTTAAACACAATGGATCTATGCTGTAGTTGGTAATGAAGTAAATCTAATAATCTCCTTTATGTTTCAGAAATAAGTTGCATATGTCACAAACAGAGAAACAACTTTGATGATTCTTGTAGAAAGTGTGAGGTGTAATGGCTGTGTGTGTGGTGCATTTGATTGCAGTGTTTGATTGTTGTGCTGCTGTGTGAAAGATACCAAATCAAGGACGCCTTTGAATTAAAAAAAACAATATTTAAAACCTCTGAAAACCTATTCTCAGTTTCTTACTATATCCTACTGAACTCATTATTAGCTGCCAAAGTAGTTTGTCTTGTGTGTCTGTGCACTTCTCACTGGTTTGAAGTGTGCAGGGTTGTGTTATAAAATGGTGATGTCATGTTTTTCCAATCACTAATTACAATTTAGCAATATACTCTGAGAGTGACAGTTCTTTGATTGTGTGTTTGTTTCCTGTTTTTTCCCTAACTTTTACTTTAATTGTTGCTTATCTAATATTCAGTATTTTATATTAAAGATTGTGTGTGTGTGTGTGTGTGTGTGTGTGTGTGTGTGTGTGTGTGTGTGTGTGTGAGGGAGCGGTAGAGAGCATGCAGGTGTGTGTTCAGACAAATCTCAATTTTATACCAAATACTGAGTCTACTTCCTGGAGCACTGGTGGTGTGAAGTTCAGAGAAGCAGTATTGTCAGGTTACTGGTTTGATGTTTGTACCAGCGAGATAATATGAGAAGGGAAAGTGAAAGAGGAGCACTTGTCCCTCCCTTTTTACCACCGCTGAGGGGCCCTTGAGCAAGGCCCTGAACCCCCAACTGCTTCCAGGTGAGTATGATCAGATAGCTCTCAGCAATACATGCCTGGATAACTAAGGGCAAAATAATTTCTTCACTCTGGAAAAGTGACAAAATTAAATATACTAAATTAGGATACATACTAAAATGCCTGATTATGAGTGTAATTTTAACTGTTTTTTAAAGGAAATGAAAGAGAAAATGAAAAGAAAATGGTGGAATGGGGTGAAACAGAACCAGAGATTTACTAGAAGACAAAAAAACTATTAAATCTTTAGGAAAACCTTTTGTTTTTTACTTTATTTTAGTACATAGTAAGAAACTGAAACACAGTGGAAGTGTGTAAGAGTGTCTGTGTTCTTCAACATACAGCTGTGTGCAACATATGTGTCCTCCTTCCTCTGTTCCACATAATCATTGTGTAAATAGAAATCAGTTTCATCAACCATTCATAATTGTCATAAGTGCCTTGTTTTTACTTGTAATTGTGATAGAAAGCATCAAGATGAATCCCAGAACTACAATTATGATCTTCCCCACCAACCCTGTCTTCTAGAAATTATGTTTATATACTACTAAATTATTTTCCCAATCTCTTTTTTTTCTGATGAGAATAATAAGAATTGCTTCCTGGATTATGTTCATAGGCAACTTCTTCTTGGAATATTTGAAAATTTAGTGACTTGCCAGACAAAATGTCATCATTAAGTTGATAAAATCGTCATCCTGATTGCCAATTGCCAGTTTTTAACACTATTTGCCCTCATTTTCAAGGTTAAAGATTTTCAACTTTTGACCCCTCTCTTTTCTCTGGTCAGTACTGCATTGCCTGCTTTCCCACAATACCTTGAGAAGTGATTCACTTATAGAAAATGAATGGAGGCAAACTTCTCCTCGTGCTGCACCACGTCAATTGGGTCTTCACTGCTGCCGCTGACAAGATGCTGAGCTGAAAAGCTCCTTCCACCCTCCACGCCACCCGAAAATAGTGAAACAGTCCTCATCTCTCCCCCTATTCATAGCCCCAACAAGCAAAAGATCAAAACCCACCCGTGTAATTACTGCTCCGCAGAAAGGAGGCCTTTTGATTATTAGCCCCCTCTCTCTCCTCCATCCTCAAATTCTTGATGTTTCTCCGTGTTAAGGAGCCGGGATGGGTGATTTGGTGCTACTCATTACACTCACTCCACAATATGTTCAAACGCCCAGAAAATGTGTCTCGCTGAATGGGGTTCAATCCTGCAAACTTGCCACCCCTCTGGAAGAAAGCAGGCAGCCTCATTCTGAGCGAGAATAAGAGGCGCTAGTAGGAGGGAGGATATTCTCAGCCACAACCTGGCCCTTAGAACGGCCTGCATGAATAATAATAATGAAAATAATCATAATCATAATGCTGATAAAATACTCAAAATAATTGCCACCCCGGAATAAGAGGATTATGGAGGGTAGATATGTGAATAGTGGCGAGTGAAAGGACGGGAATCTATTAGGAACAGGGAGGACAAAAGAGGAGCTGGATGCCATTAAGTGAGATTAAGCTAAATAAGGCTTGATTTTCTTACAAGGAAAAAGGAGGAAGGAGAAGAGGGTGAGAGTGAAGGAGGAGAGGAGGGGGAGAGAGGGAGGGCCTGATTCATAGATCAAAGTAAGATGGCCAAACTTCACGTCTTTCATTTACATATAGCTGCTTTATCTCTGGAGGGATTAGCTACCTTGCTATTTTCTCCGGGTTGCTCTCTATTCTGCCACCTATTGCCTACCGTCCATTTCCTCCTGCTCTCAGGATGGTTCAGCCCTTCTTCTTTTCTTTTTTCTTTTTTTTAAAGTTTTGCTCCTTAATTTCTCCCCCCTCTCATTCTCTGCTCATTCTCTCTGTTTCTCCAAGAGGCTCTCACTTTCTCATGTTTGGTGGTTTCATTGTTGCAGAGACGCAGGGGTCTGGTCAGTCTTTGTGTTAGCACTTTAACTCATCTCCATTTCATCACTGTTGTTCAATGGAGCGAGGAGAGCTCGTAAGACAATCACACACACACACACACACACACACACACACACACACACACACACACACACACACACACACACACACACACACACACACTGTTCCCTGTGGACAACGACCAGAAAAGCAGACTAAGCACTGAATACTTCTTCGTTAAAGGCATAGCACATCCAAAACCTGTGTCATTGTTTTCTAGGGATGTTACTTTTCCCTCTGTTTAACCAGATAAAAAATATCTGAGTGAGATTGAAATCTGCTTAGAGTCCTGGCCAACAGGGCAGCATAAGAACAGTGATGTGATTAATCGATTGGTTATTTGGTCCATAAAACGTCAGAGAAGCGATCAGTGTCACCCAAACCCCACATTGATGTCCTCAGATGTGTTGTTTTGTACACAACTCAAAGATATTCAGTTTACTGAGTAAAGACACTCGAAAATATTAAGAGAATTAATACTTTTTCAAAATAGTGGCCGATTAATTTGATAGTTGTCAACTAATTGATTAATCATTGCACTTCTAAAGAAAAGTTTCAAATGGGACACAAACAAATAATACCCAGTTAAGATTCACCAATACTATGTAGAGTAATAAAGTAAAAAAAGTAACAGAGTTCTATGCTCTGTTATTTTTGAATAGCCACTGCTATGAACAACAGACCTTTCTGCATCACCCTGTCAAGGTTTATTTTGCAATAACGACCCGCTTGCTGTACATTACTCCTTACTGTACATATGACAACTTTTTTACTCACAAAGTCTGAAACAGTTAAAGAATTTATGTGTTGCAGTAGTATATTCTTGTCAGATATAAGTCCTTACATGTGCAGATTTTATACCGTTCAGTAAATCATTAGCTATACAGAACCAGCAGGAGTGGAGCTTTACCCTAACACTGGATGAATTTACATTCATACACACATTTGACTTTTGAAAAGCACTGCTGATATCTTTATGTATCCATTTGGATTTCGATTGAAGCATCTTGTTGTATATCCCACCAGCCACTTTACTCTCCAACATGTGTCTCTAATGTGGATCACATACACATCGTCCTCCACTGTTCCCTCTCCTACAGCCTCTCATCTCAGAGTGTTGTTTGCCTCCAGCCTTTGTCGCGCTGTTTCATAGCACTTAACCAGTCAACGTGGGGAGTCCTTGGCTTAGGAAGTCCTGAGCCATAAATTTCATCTCCACAATGAGCAGAGCACAGGGGCTGGTCAGGACCCCCATTTACTTTCTAACCCAGCTTTTATTCATTCCCTCCCTAAATAACATCAGGCCCTCCTGTGCTGTCCCACCCTGAAATTCCCGATCCCCTATGTCACCCCTTCTTTCTCAGACCGAGCCGATACAACAGGGTTACTGCTGAGCCCGCCGGCCCGCTCATTAAGCATCGTGTTCTCTCCCACCCATTCCAGCCCTCTGTCCTATTCACACCGCCGTCCTCATTACAACTTTACAGGCCGCCATCAACCGTCACCTCATTACCCCTATCAACCGGCTAAAAGACGGGCTGAGATGGTGTGTGGTCACAGGAGACGTATTGTCTTTACACAGTCTGAAATTATCTCTGAGGCTTGGCAAATTATTTTGTTTAGGGGTGATATAAGGCTGATTTTAAGTTGAATCAGTTGAATGTTTTGTTTTTACTTCAAAACTTGCTGTATTTTTGTTTTAATATGTAATTGCTCAAAATATCATTGAATTATGTCTGACTGGGGTTTGTTCAAATTGACTGGAAAAGGAGATTTTGACTATGGCAATGGCTACACACTCAAATGCTGTGGCTGGTAGGCTAGCTCCTTCAAACTTTTATTGGAAGAGGAAAAGGTGATAGGGTTTGGATTAAAGAACAGCAGACCTTCCACACAGCCGGATCAGTGGGACCAGCCCACTATGGCGGAGCTGTCACACCAGGAGGATAGAGAAAAGAGCCAGGGTAGGAGCCATTGCGGCAATCACGTGTTGTATTAAGTGGCCCAAGTCTTCTTTGGGGCCCTAGGAACCCACAAATAGCAGGGGGATTTCAGGGTGGGACAGTACAGGAGGGCCCAGGGCTTTAACCACCCCACATGCATACATTTGGTATTATAACTCCAAAATGTGTCACTTTCCTTTTCATCCTTTCAGAATTTGTTACAGCACTCTCAAATACCTTTTAATTTCTCACTAATATCTGAGGCATTACTGAGCACTGCAACAATATCAGGGTGTGTAGCTTTAAGTAGATAAAATTATGGCACAAGAGTATTTTGAGGACCTTGGTGCTGAGGTCCCTTTAGGCCACCACTGTCTCCCTTAAGTCACCATTAAACACCATGTCTGCTTTTGTTTTTCTCAGATGTATACATTATTATTGCTCAATAATAATGCAGGTTGATGTAAGAAGTCTGCCCTGCATCACCACTGAGGTTATTTTTTTCTGATTATACGCTGTTCAGGGGACTGGAGCCTTTCCC